TTCTCTCTCTCTCTCTCTCTCTCTCCCCCTCTCTCTTTCTCTCTCGTGCTCCAACTCGAGCAAGGAGACGCGACTCGACGGATCACGTCCGGATCACGAAACGACGCCGAATGGGACGGGGGCCACGGCCCTTCTCACTCGCGCCATTTTCAAATAGTCCTTGGAAGAGCGGCAGTAGCGGCTACTTTGAGAAATTGCGTATCGCGAATGACGCGACGCGAACGCCGCGACAGATTTTTCTCTTCTTTCTCTCTTTTTCTCACTCGCTCGGACCACGCGTTTCCTACTTTTCTTCTTTATTATTTCACCGATCTACGCGCGTAATTACGAGACGACGAGCGAATCGCGTTGAGCAGCGTCACTAGGGCGTTACCGCACCGAATATTACCGCGGCACTGCCCTCGACGTTCCTACGCGCCCGCCGTCATGGCCGACTGCGACCAACCGCGACTAGGAAAAACAGAGTTTCTCTCGTGACGCAATCGGACGAGCACGTTCCGATTCACCTGCATTTTCTCTGCCAGGTGGCGTCATACGTACAGTCGATAAAGCGGATCGTCTTTTTATCACAACGTACGAGTTGAATGCTCGAGTAAATTTAACGTAAGTGTTGGTCCACAATAAGTATTTAATCTTTAAGTTGTAAGAAATTGGCCAATCATAGTCGATTATTCTTTTCATATTCGATTATAATTGGTCAATTTCTTACTTCTTAAAGTTTAAATCACCTATTGTGGACCGACACTAATGCAGCGATCTTGCGAGTTATCGATCCATACTTTTCTTCTCTTTGCAAGAAATAATTTATATTAATTATTCTTTGTCTTACGGCTATATTTCTTGTCATACATCTATATTTTATTTAGATGATCTTACAATAAACGATGATTGCTCTTAGCGAAAATAACGAAAAAAGATTGTATCAATACGTTTCAGACGTTTGTACATGCGTATCTGTGTTCATAAAGATATATGTAAATAGAGATACGAATACACAATTCGCAAGATTATCTTTGCATATTTATTACCCAAGTTAAACCGAACCGTATGCAAAGATATTAGC